CAGAGTGATGACTCTCTTGTGTTTAGATATCTAAGCTGAAAATTAGTCACAGAAAGTCACCCTCGCTCTCTGGTAATTAAGGCAATTATATGAGCAGATATTAATCTCTTTCTGAGAAGTGTTGTGAAGCTTAATTCATTAAAGTTTTAATGATTTGAGAATTTTACTTGAAAGATGTTACAGAAGCCCAGTGCCTCGTGTAATCATCCCCCCAGCACTCCCAGGCAAAGGAGGAAAGGTGCAGCCCCAGCTTTCTGCATGACTCATGGTTTGTGGTAGCTTTTGCCACCAAGAAAGTAAAACTCTCATTGTAGCATTATAATGTGGGAACAATGAGAAGCAGATATGAATATCAGCTTAATGAAGCTGCTTAGGAGGAAAAGTTGAGTGGCTGAGAGGATGAGGGACTGGCATTTCATCTCAGAGAGCCCACTGGGGTTTAATTTGCAGCCCACAGTTGAGATGTTAGGAGGGAAATGATTTACTAGCTACCAAAGGGGACCTGCTTCTGACAGGAGAGTACTCTTCAGACAGACACATTAAATCCTCTTGTTTTCCAAGTTTGAGCCAATTTCAATAAAGCTTTAATCCCAACTAAGTACATCTAAATACTTATATTTTTTTGTCAGTTGTAACTTCTCTTCCTGTGATGTCCAACACTTCAACTGGAGCATGTGGAGGAATTCACTGAGACCTGAAGCTACCTGCTTTGGAAATGCCTCAGTTAGGAAGCAGGTAAAGAAGGGATCTATATAGTTAATGGATGCCAAAGATATTGGGCAAACATTTGAAGAGTATCAACATTTTGTTACCAATCTAATATCAGCTTCCTCTGTTGTTACAGGTTAAGTTACTAAACTCTTCTGGAGAGGTCACTGAAGCATCTACAGACTTGCATACACAGATCTACCTGCATGGAACATCAACAATCATCCACAGAATTTGGAAGCCTGTACACTGGTGACCTACAAAAAGGGAAGGTCTTCCTGATTTGATTTCTTAGGCACCTAACTCTGAGGTTGCAAGGCTGCACATTTTGTTGTTGCACATTTGAATGCTCACTCTGCCAACCTGAGCATGGATCATGGGCTGGGAATTATTCCAGCTCTTCTTCTGAAGCTGAGATGATTCCCCTTTGGAATAATCTAATATCAACTGTACCAATCAAGAGAAATAACACTATGATTTAACAATCTGAGTATCAGTCATACCTGCTGAGGAAACAAAATTCTGTCTTTGCTCCACAAAACTTTTATATGAAATGCTTAAATATGTAATTGTCCCTTCCTTATACAAGGAACATCTTACATGTTGAACGGTTAAAAATATTTGTACATTCTAGAGAGTGCAGTTTTGTGATTAAGGCACTGAATTGAGTTTCATGTAGCTTCAAACCTCAAGTCCTGTCTAGAAATACCTGAGCAGGGGCTCTGCACACAACCATTTAATTTCTGTCTTGCAAAGTGAAGTTTCTGGGAATCAAAGTGAACAGAAGAATAATGTCTGTGTATCATCATTTATCTGCATTCAAGGCTCATTTTATTTTAGAAATCCCTGTCTAACAATGCAGCTGTAGCTTCAGTGACAACTCTTTTCAACAGAACACAAATTATCTCAGTTCTCACCTCTTAGAGCTTTGCTTATTTAACATCTCATTACATGTCAAGTATTTTGCCAAAAAAATTTGCATACTCTATGATCCTGACCATTACTTGAAGCAGGCAGATGCTACTGATGTATAAAAAAAAGATGCCCAGGTAATGGAAGTTGTTGCCCTTTGATTTCTGCTGTTGCCTTTGTGAAAGAAGAGTGCTCTCAGTTCAGCTCACAATAAGTTTGCAGCCCGTCAGAAAACCACAAACCTGTTCTATTGTAATTCTGGATGATCATTTCCCACGGAGAGGTCAAGTGCCAAAAGGACCTGAGTGTTCTCAGGCCTGGAAATTACTCCTCTAGGCAAGAGGGAGGCATGTTGGGGATCTGTCTGAGCTGCACTTTTATTGGCAAGGAGGCTTTTATCTCCCAGGCTGATGATCTTACCCAGAAACTTATTGATTCCCACAGGTAACTCTCCTTGACTTCAAAATGACCCACAATTTTAACTTTCTGTTTTTAGCTCAGGTTATTCATAGGTTATAACTCACAGAAAGAAAGGAGATTGCACATTAGAGAGTGCTGCTGGAGGCCACGTCTTCAATTTTCACCAATTTCTATTAAAATTAATTTCATTTATCTCCCAGAAATTAAGTAGTACAAATGACAAAGAGGAGAAAGGGAAAAGTCTTCCAGGAACCAGGAATATGTGTTGGGAAATAGGTGATAGAAGAATCAGAAGGCAAGATATGAATAAATTCTAGTTCTACCTAACAGAGTCCATTCTGCTGATGGCCACCTTATTACTTTGCATCAGAGGAGACATAAAAAATACCTTTTTTTTCTAGCTGTTACCCTAAAATGAACTGACCACATGAAGTACAGAGTAAAAGGGAAATTGTAAAGCCATGCATGTATGTTCACCTGATTTCTTTGTTCCTTCCAATCCATCTGCTCATCCCTGAACAACTCCTATGTAACCCCACTTAGTGTACAGTAGCTTCCCAGCTCATAAAATATTGATCCAGGTGTTTTATTGTGTATCTTCCTTGAACTTTGATCTTTCATACTTAGTGCTGCCTTAATGAAATATTTAGAAGTACAACATTTTCCATGTGTAAGGTAAATTTAGGGGTTTTATGGTAGCCTCTGTTAATGCACTAACTTCAACCCACAGGAGATCCAGGCTGAACTCTATCTCGGTCACATTTAGTTGAAAATTGCATTTCCAAATTCATCCATCCCTAAGCAACATTTTTTTTAGGGTAAAGGTCAGTTTTGTGACTTGGTTGGAGCAGGGTCACCACCCTTCCTCACCAGGTACATTGAGAGGGCCTTGAGAAAACACATCCTAAGAGATGACTTTAATAGCTAATTCCCAACAGATAAAAATGTATTATCTGGATAATAAAGCAAGACCTCCAACTTAGAAAAAAGACTAAACAAACATTCTACAAATATTTATAGACATTGAATGTCATCAAGTAAGTTTGTTGAAGAAAGCCAAAGTACTGAACTATCTCCTTTACCAATTTCATCAACTCTTATACTCAAGAATAACAAACAAAGCATTCTCCTGTTTTGTTTTTAGAGGTTGAGAACTGATAAAGTCCAAGAATAACAAACAAAGCATTCTCCTGAGGTTGAGAACTGATAAAGTTTCAGCTCACAGCCCATGGCTATCAGCATCTAGGAACATGCAAGATCCAGTTAAAGCTTCTTCAAGACCTGAAGGACTCAAAAGGTTTCTGTCCAACATGGTTTCTCTGATAACTGGTAGGAGCCTTTCCCCCAGTATAAGGCTCTTGTCACCACCCAGTCACTTAACTTTCACAAAATGGGTAAAAACTCAGTTTGGAGACCTTTATCTTGTTGCATTTGCTTGAAAGGGGTTTTGGATGAAGGATTTCAAGGTTCTTAGGGACAGAGAGACAAGGTGGTACACAGACACACACACAGAACAAGCTTAAACACCTGATTCTGTCTTATTACAGCTGCCACAAATCAGGATATGATTTATCAGCATCTCTCAGTCAACAGACTGCTGCTCTGTTTGAGGGTAGAAAGGCTCTGCAGATGAATTTGGACAATCTGGATCAATGGGCAGAGTCCAGCTGTATGAAACTCAACTGCTGGGTCCTCCACTTGGGTCACAACAATCTCAGGTAACATTACAGGCTTGGGGAAGAGTGGCTGGAAACTGTCACTTAAAGGTCTTTTCCAAGCTAAATGATTCTATGATTCCAGGATTCCATAGTGCCCATTTTGAAGATGCTGCAGACAGCTCTCAATTACAACATGCTGTTTGGACAGATAGAAGTAGAGCAGCAGAGAAAACAGGCTAGAGGTTTTTTCAGTCTGAATTTTGAATTCACAGAAATGTGTGGTTTTGAGATGCTAACAGTTGACATGCAGAACCAGGACTTCAGCTCTGATCGCTTGGAAGATCCAACTCTACCAGTCCAATCATCTAGGCTTTCCTCATAACTGATGGAGAAAGATATATGGAAAGAACTAAACTCCCAAAATGACTCTTTTCATAGCCTAAGGATTTGATGCCTACATATGGAGCTTTTAGATGGACAAATGTAGGTCAGAAGCACTTCACCTTTACAGAGCAGCCTGTTGAACCTGCTAACACCAGAATGAATTTCCAGTGCTCATAAGATCCATAGTTCTGTTCTAGTAACAACATTAAGCCATTTATTACCTGGACAAAGCAAATAATTTATAATATCTGAGGACTATGGCCTCAAAAACCTTTATCAAGATGGCAAGCTCTGCTTCTTTCCATAGTTGGCTTTTGCACTAGGCACAAAAGAATTTCTCCACATGCTGGAAAGCCAGGATATCAAGTAATCACTCCCAATGTGCATAGATTTATGTTAATGACAGGAAAGGTAGGAATAAAAAGGGAAATAAATATAGTTTGCTGCATATATCTGTCTCAGCATTATTTAGGGAAATAATAACAGCTAGATCACCAAATGAAATAATGAAACCTTCAAAGAAAGTCTTCATATTAAAGTACAACCATCTCTCAGACACCGAGCCATATACTCCATTCAAAATATTCCTATAGATTGATACCATAATTTCATCTTCATATGATGCAACATCTGTGTTTATTTTACTGAGGCTGCTGGGATGTTAAAAATCACCCATTTAAATTTGTGTCATGCAAATATTTTGGTAAAAAGTCGACATCTCAGAGAAAGCCTGATGACCTATAATTTTTATATTCTTATTTATTTTCTAGATGTGTTTCTTAGGGCTACAACAGACCTTTCTTTAAAAAAAAACAAAACCAAACAATGGCTTTGTGATTTCATTGCATTTTTACCTACTCTATCAGCTTCCAACGTCCCAAATTTTACACTCTCCAAAAGCACAGAGACCTGCCTTACCTTCTGGCTCCCTGATCTTACGCCCTGCTGCAGATTTTCTCAGCACGCTCCGTCCTGAGCTGAACAAACTGGTTAACTCATCCAGGGGACTGGTCAGGGCCCTCGAGTTGGTGGGGCTGTATGGAAATGAGGATGGGGAATTGGAGTTGAGTTTCCTGTGCTCTGCTCTCGCCACCTTTGGGGAATAAGGCCGTTTGGAGAATGGAGATGAGCATCCCAGCTGGGCAGGATTGGGTCTCTGAGGTACTTTTGGCAGGTCTGAGTTTGTACCTGTTTTCCCTGTGTTGATCAGAAAAGTAGCACAAGTCTCTGGAGGAAAGGCAAAATGGGTGGAAGCCCGGTAGGAAACAGGAGGTGGTACAGGAGGAGGGGGTGGTGGGAGAGGAGGAGGTGGTGTGGAAGGAGGGGTCACTTTGCTGGAAACGTTGAACACAATCAAGCCTGGAGATGTTGGTCTTTCATTCTCCCCTTTCTGACCTTTGGAGTACTGTGGTGACAATGGACTGGAGCCTTCTGACTGCACGGGGTATTTGAGGTTGGTTTCCAAGACAGGAAGCTTCTTGACTTCCAGTGGTGTTAGAGGTGATTCATCAGAAGCAGGAGAACAGGTGACAGGGGTGGGAGGAAACACAAGAAGTGGTGGCCTGTGGGGAAGCAAGTTAGGGAAAGGAGCTGGAATGTCACATGAGTCTTTATAGATCAAAGCTGCTTGGCTGTTTCCTTCCAATGGCCCATCTTCAACATTAACATTTTTTTTGCTTTCAAACAGCAGAGGAGGAGAACCAGTCACTACTGGAATCATCCCATTACCATTGCTTCCTTCTTCTGGTAGAAAATACTTCATCTCTTCATACACAGACTCTCCTTGTTCTGGACTTTCTGCCTCAGCAGAGCCACTTTTCATTGCATTCCCTACCATTTCAATATACACAGGCTCATTTTCCTCCTCTTCTTGTGACATGTAGAGACTCAACACACCATGCTGTGGCCCATCAGCAGAAGCTGCCTTCTGTATTGTCACAGTGTCATAGCCCCCTGCTTTAGCTCCTGTGCTTGCCTGTTTTCCATCCCCAGGCTTCTGCCCAGGTATTTCTTCATAAGAACCACTAAGTTTGGTGTTGGGACTTCGTTTTGGTTTTCTGGGAGGTATTTTTTTCATGGTGCTGTAGTCATCACTGTGTGGCCTTGGACGGGTCAGTACTAGGAAAGAGAAAAAGGTCTGGGTTATTAATTGAGAAAAGTACTTTTTTTTCTTACACAGGTCTAGTTTAAGCCTTCAAACGTTGCCCATGCAGTTGTACAATGAGTAGCAGCCACAAACACAGGGATTCAGTCAAAAGTATAAATATTTCAAAGACCTTTCATCTTCCAAAGCACAAGCCTTTGCTATCTTGGTGTTCAACCTGCTTTGCTCATCTTTACTGCCACTAGAACACTGGTAGATTCAAATCTAAACCTTCACTGCAAGAATTGTTAGCACATGGAAATACCTGTCTGTTATTCCTTTTGCCCCAAGGGACAGGGGCATGTTTTTAACTGGAAATTTCAGCATGGTGCTACTTTGACACATTATTGCCAGTAATGGATGTATCCCCCTTTTATGTAATGTCTATAAGGCTTTAATTATAGGCAGCTATTAAGCCTGTCTCTTCTTCTGTACTGTGGGTGTGGAAATAATTTATAAAGTTAGGGAATACCATATAGCCTAAGGGCAATTTCCCAACTGAGTATACAGTTAACTAAACGAGATGTCTTTTTACAGCCTCCAGGCATGTGTGGGGTGGAGAAACCAGATACCTATGTGATTGGACTTCTAAGATCAAAATTAGATGGTGCAAATCAGAGCTGCTTTAGGACAAGGAAATGGACTCAATTCTCAGAAAATGAGTATACAGCAGGGAATCTGGCCCTGTTGTTTCATACATAGGAGAAGTCCAGAGTTTTCTGTGAGTGCATACAAGCATTAGTGTTACGATCACACACTGTAGAATCATAGAATGGTTTGGGTTGGGAGGGACCTTGAAGATCTTCTACTTCCAACCCCACTGCATAAAGAGTTATTCTTCAAAAAAACTCAATCAGCTCTTGCAGGACTGGGCACAGAATGCTGAGAGCACCACAGAGCTCCTTAAACCATACTAGCTTGAAAGTATATTGGACACAGTTTCTCTCTCCTTACACAGACCTTGACTGAGGAAGGAATAGATTAAGAAAAATGGACTTGCATCTAATGAACTGGACATGAGAACAATAATTATTATGCAAGAGGGAGCTGCAAAGATTTCTATCCATTGAATGCATGATTAGAGGATGGTTATACATAGCTTTAAACCCAACCTGAAGGATCTTCCCTGGTAAACCTAGAGGATCTGTTACCCAAGGCATGACAAGTCAAGCTTATCATAGAAAAGCAGAATGCATTCCTTCACTTCATCCTCTACTCATTCATTTCAGAGTGAAGAATAATAAAACAACTGAAGCCAAAACCATCCTATATGCACTATAATGCATTGAGACACTTTGGGACTTTCACAGCACTTTCCTTCTCAACAGGAAACTCGCTGTAAGCAAGTTACAGCACAACCAGAAACCACTGAATGCATAAGTTATTCATGTGAACAGAAAGAGAAAGTGGAGGAAGTTTAATGTTTAAAATTCAAGGTTTGAGCATTCTGCTTTAGTGATACAAGACATTGTAGCACAGAGTTTAAAAGGTGAAATGAAATGGTCAGTGGGGTAGAATAGCTCAAGCTGACAGATCACCTCTCTCTACAGAGAGCTCTGCAAATAGCTTTGGGTTGTTGACCAACCAGGCAATTAGAACACGTGAGCACCACTTGCTGATTTGGACAAATCAACTCATTCCATTGACTGCCACTGAGATATTCCCTGGGAGCAGGACTCTCCAAAGCTGCCTGGCTGTGTTGAAAAGGATGAAAGTGAAAAGAACAAGTCAAGAAGCCCACGTTGGTGACCATTTCTCCCCTTAGGCCTGACCTTCGTTGGCGGTCTCCTTGGCCGCCGCCAGGCAAGCGCTGACGGCCTCGTAGGACGCGCTCAGCCGCGTGCTGGGGTCCCTCTTGGGTTTGGGAGGAGGCTGTTTCCTGGGGGATGGCAGGCTGCTGCTGTCCTCCACGCTGAACACCGAGTGCAGGGAGGGGGATCTGATGGACGACCCACCCCCAGAATGGACCAAGCCATCCACGGCCATGGGGACGGGCACCGAGCTGGAGTGGAAGTGCCTCGGCGCCCGGCAGCCGGCCAAGCTGTCCTCGGGGACCTTCCCACCCTTGTCTTCAGCTCTGAAAACACACCAGAGGGGCCCAGAGGCATTATTCAAGCCACAACAATGGACCCATTCATGCAAACGTAACAGCTTTTTGGTAACCAATCCCCCCCGCTGCGCCGAGGGGGTGGGTGCAGCAACCTCCCCACAAACCAGCCCAGCTCAAGCTGCTGGATTTTCTTCCCTTTCCTCTTTCAGGATAAATCAGGATGCTATTTTTTCACACAGCCTCATGAATTGTTCACACTTTGGTTGTTTCGTGCAATCAGAACTCTGGGTTTTCAATCTGAATGATAATTTCAGGGAAATCCGGTTTAATAGGAAGTTACTGAGGCAGCAAATGCTAAATCTTTATCACTGGTTTGTAAAAAGACAACTATAAATTCTATTTAGGTAATGCAAATCTTTTAAATATTAGATGACCTTCTTAACCAGCTACATTGGCTATTTCAACAATCCCACCCAGATATCTATATGTCGTCCCATTTAAGCTTAATTATTTGTTATCATTGTCATAGTATTAATTATGACATTATCTTTAGTTATTTCAATCCCATTTTTGGAGTTTTTTTTATTCAAATTTTTTCCTCTTTTTTGCTATTTCAGTATATACTACATAAAATTATGTTTATCAGCTGCTTCCAACAGATTAATTTTTAATAAAAATCCTTTATTCCTCCAAAAATCAAAACACTGAAAGCCTTTTAACTGTGTGGCAATGGATTAGACAGAAGATGTCTATACCATCATTTGACAAACAAATCCCCCAGCATTTGTTTGTTTAAATTGTATTTCTGCATGGCAAAGCACCAGCAGAGCTGGAATTCATGCACAGGATGCAGCCAGCTGCCCATGTCCTAAATGAAACAGCTAAAGATGAAAGCATGATGCTCAGTGGATAATTTGTTTTCACTGTAATGTTTAATTACAGTCTTTCCTACAAAGGCATTTCCTCCAATATGTAATCACTGGGATATTTGCAGCTAATTAAGCAGATGCACTGCCATTTTCACTTTAATAAAAGTCACTGACAAAAGCAATGAAAGCAAAGGGAGTTGTTCTGGCTGAAAATTAAGTTCCTATGGAAAAATAAACATTCATATGTCCAGCAAG